ATACTCTTGCCAAGGTGGAGGAGAGAGTTATGAAAACTCCAAACTGGAAGAGATCACACGATGCCAGGAAAAAAAGAAATGTTGGCATTTCTGCTAGAATGACCCCAAGTCCTAGGACTTTGGTAGCTTCTGGTGAGCCCTCCATCCCAGAGACATAAAGTCATGCACCAAAGAAATTTTTTTTCCTGAACATCACTTAACACAGAAAACCTCGGTTACCCACTGGTTCAAAGGATTTTTGTTAAGCCAGACCATGGGAATGCAACTATTTCAGATTAGTCATTTTGTGGAACTGCATGCACCAACACTCTGCAAAGTCTTTTGCTATTTAATTACAGTAAGATCTAAAAAGCATAAAGTGTTAATTCTTCTCTTTGCAAGAGACTTTTGAAGCCCAACTGGAAAAGGCAGGAACTGTGTGGGGTGGTGGGGGGTGAGAGGGGGAGGGGAGAAACACATTTGATTTAACCAAGAAATTCCGATTTAGAGTGATAAAGTCTAACCACTAATCTATAATGATTAATATACTCTAATTTATTGTCATACTAATTTCTCAACACAACCGTAAATGTTTTGGTCTGCATAGTATCTGCACATATACATATGGGGCAATGGGAACTTAGCTGCTATCAATCTTTATATACACTTCCCAAAATATACATTTAGCTTTTAACCATACAGGAACTCATTAAAGTTTGGCGTGTTTTCACAGGAACATATTAACTTATAGAACACAAGTTAAAGACAACATCCCAGCATTCATGAAATATTCTAAGCAGAGCCATGTTTCTGCCAACTTCACTGCCTTTCATCAAATCTGACTAGTAAAGAGAACATGCACTTCGATTCCTCTTACTGAAAGACATACACTCTTTAGCTGGTATCCTGGTCACTACAGAAGTGACACTAGAACATCTACTTAGGTTGTTGTTAGCTGAATGAAATGTAAACCACTCTTGCCTCACCGAGAGCAATTAATTCCAAACAAGTTAGCATAAAATTTAACAAACTAAACAAACTTGGTGGTACATACATTGCCTCACCAATTGCAAAATTCAATAAGCTATGAACTTCCCCCACACAAGTTAAAGAAACAACCACTTCACATTTGCATAGTTTTTACAAAACCTAGGAAAAAGCTGTATCCATGCAAGAACAGCCAGAACTTGACTGAAGAGGTTTTAGCGCTACCTAATATTACTACACCTTTTCCAATCTGTTCATTCAGACAAACGAGTAAAGCACATGCCACAGACTAAACCAATTCAGCAATTAAACAACTAACTCCAAATATCTCATAACACTGAAATTAAAAAAAGCAGTTGCTAACCCTTCATCCAATAAAGTTTCTGTTCACTTACTGAAGAACTCCATTATCTGCCACTCAGTGTTCCTAAAGAAATTTGCAGATCCAATCACAGTACTTTTCAATACTAAGAAAATTAGTGCCCCATAGCCCTTGAAATATTTTTAACATGTAATGAAAATGCTAGTGAAGATTACTTTTCTAGTGACTTCATCTCCTAATGTAAAACAGCAGTTTCAAGAGGCACTAAGAGCACATTCTAAGCAGTCCCATCTACGAGACAAGGTGACAATACCCTGCAACAATGTTCTCAAAGTATTTTTTCATCATAATCCCGAAAGTGTGTGCTTTCATGTGGTTTATTATATATCACATCTGCACTCTCCTCACCTCTCTATTATTAAGACATCCACAGAAAAAATAAGACTTTTTTTTTAAATGCCATCTGTTCCATGCATATTTTTCACTTCAAGTCCTACTTGGTATCTGCATGGTATCTGCAATGGAAATGTCTATATCATACAGGATTAAGACTACAAATAAAGCAGAAGTTGGGCTTTCATACAAACTACTGAAGAGGGGAAAAAAAAAAAAAAAGCATCACTTGAAGTTTTCCTAAACACAAAATTTTTTTAAGAGTTCTTCTTGAGGTATGTCTCCCTAGAAATGATCTGAAAGAATGCAAGAAGAAAAACTGCTCCTCTTAAAACTGGTGATTTTATTTCTTCCTGCTACTGCTCTACACCTGTTTCTCTCTTGACTCAAGACACTGGAAGTTTGGAATACCAGTCTCCAAACAGATGAGCACAGAGACCCTTTCACTGAAATACAAGCCATATTCATTCATGAGGTAACATTTGCACGAGCTTTTCTCATAACCAACTAACATTTTACAGAGGCAACGTCAGCTCTGCAGTAAGCTCATCTCCAAAGGCTTTTCAATTATCGTAGCTGTTTTCTCACCTCCATGCCCCCTTTTGTTATTCCTGTACTTTTCTCAGTCACTTTCAACATTTCAAAATATTATTAGCATTATTAACACTTGTGTCATTCAGAGCTTGGGGGCGGGGAAAGGAAGGCTGACTTACCTGGTCATACTAATATAAAACATTCCTTAAGCCAAGCTCTTGAAAGATTCCATCATTGCCTACAATGATTTAAAAAAGACCGTTCATCTAAAGCTGTTTAAAAACTTGTAATTTCTGTGAACACTCACTAACTACTCTAAAATTGTTCCAGACTGCCTCATTATTAAATTGCAATCAATTCGGTCTTAAATACTACTTTGGAATGGTAGGTGTGAACACAGCTGTTCTGATCAAGGCTAACTAGAGCTGTTTAAGTTAAACCACGCAAGGCCTTAGGCTCACAAGGCATAAAACGTACCAGACGTAGCGAAATAACTTTCGCCATGGCGAGCACCGAGGAAGCCACTTCACGCTCGCACCAGGCGTTGTTATTTTGTGTCGCATTCACAAGGGGAACAGATAACAAGTGACACCTGACAAGTTTCCCAGCCCTGCTTTGCTCCGGCCCCGGGCACGTCGGCCGAGGGAAGACCGCGGCGGGCTGGGGAAACACGGGCTCGGCTGCCCAGAGCACACGTGTCACTGCCACACACCGACCTCCCCCTCCCGCGGCCGGGTGCCGGAAAGCCGGCCGTCAATCCCACAGGAACGAAAGGAAACAACCCCGAGAGAGCCCAAGCGAGGCACGGCTCACCCAGCTTCGTTTCCAGCTCGCAAGCCAAACGGCAGGCAG